ACTAATAAAAGAGACAAACTATTTTAAGATTGATTAAAAAAAAAAACAAAGAGATGCTAAGGGTGATGAAAAAAATAGAAATGAATAGTGGTCATGGTTGTCCAGCTTGGTGAATGTAATTAATGTCGCTGAAATGTACACATAAAAAAGGCTGACATGGCAAATGTTTTGTTATAGATGTGTATAAATATCCACAATAAAAAAAAATGAGAGAGAAGGGAAAAAATAAACATCTGAGACAAAAAGAGAAACACAGCTAGATAGAACAGAGATTTTTAAAAACAACGGGACGGGTTACACGGCCAATTATTGTAATTGCTGTAAAAAAGTTGTAAACCTGTAAAAAGCTGAACTGGCAAAAGTTGTGTGATAGATATATTTACAACAACGACAACCAAAAGAGTAGCTGCTGAGGCTGCTTATGTACAACACCTCATGGGATCTGGTTCCATGGTTTGGAGGTCTAGGGTCATGGTTTCATGGGTCATCCCAGTTAACTGGCCTAACAACATGTTTAGTGCTTCTGTTCTACCTCCTAGTTTGCCTGGGGTCTTAGAAGCTTGCAAGCAGCCGTCCAAGGCACAACAATTGGTCTCTGTTCACCAGGAGCAACAGAGGAACGACATTCAGGAATAGGAGAAGGATATGGAATGTGTGGCTAATTGCCTTCATAAACAACTGCCTCCTCTGCCATGAGAAGAGATGAACTGGATGTGCCCTGCTACCATTACTGAACATTTTGATCAAAGATTCCACAGAAAAATCCTGATCAAACGGGAGAAAATGCAGAAAAGAACTTCAGATTCTCATGGACTTCAGACTTCTCGGAGTTGTCATGGAGGGTGGATAAACCCCGAAACCATTGCCCGGAGATAATCTTTAACCCTTAAATCAAAAATATCCTCTGAAGACTTCTTAAAACCAAATAATAGTTTAGCTTAACTAGTAAAAAACGGTCTGCCTTGAGCATTCTTTAAAGAACTATCTATATGGGATCAAATTGATAACAGCAACTTGAGAGATTAGATAGTACCCTTAAGAGGCAGTGAGTTTATGTTAATGGAGGAGGAACGACTCAGAAAAGGAGGGTGAGAACGGTTGCACAACTCAAAGAATGTAATCAATCTCACTAAATTGTACGTGTAGAAACTGTTAAGAAAAATAAACAAGATGAGAAGGGTAGGCTTCATAAAACAAATGAAAAACAATGGGAGAATACTAGGAACACTACTGACTGTGAAAGCCTCCAGGTGGGAAGGTGCCGTGGGGCTGGCAGCAAACACTGCCTCCTTGACCATGGGCATAGCAGGGCCAGGGCGAGGGAGGCTGCACACACCCATAGTCTGGCCTTCAGCCAGGTGTTTCCTGATATCTTGCTGGCCCAAGGCTAAGCTTCCAAAGCAAACTCTTGACACAGCTCACGCCAAGGACGCTGGCCAAGGGTGAACTGTGAGAAAGGGAACAGGTACAGGCACCACACCTGTGGGCTGGGCAGGGCAGAAATCATTTTCAATTTGCTACTGCCACCTCTCTGTAAGATGCAAATTCCAGTTATCATTAGAGGGTTTATCATTGCTCCACAGGGAAAAAAGAGATTAGTGTGTTTTGTTTTTTGAGAACTGTGTTGTACATGATCACACATCTCAGTAACAAGTGATAGTGATAACTCACCGTCATTAAGAAAAAAATACTCTATTAACTCTTTTAAGGAGGAAACGAGTATTACGCATTTTAGGAACACTGAGATAAAAATACAATAGTTACAAGAAAACATTAGAGTTTAAAGAGAGATCCCTCAGTTATCCAAAACATTCTGTTCTCAAAAGACCTTCCATCATACATCTTTGGTCAATTGATTTTCGACCAGGGTGCCAAGTTCATTCAATGGGAGAAGAACAGTCTTTTCAACGAGCGGTGCTGGGACAACTGGATCTCCACATGCAAAAGAATGAAGCTGGGGTCATGATGTTAGGTGCCATTGAGTCTGTTCTGACTCATAGCGACTATATGTACAACAGAATGAAACACTGCCAGGTCCTGCGTCATCCTCACAATCCATGCTATGTTTGAGCCCACTGTTGCAGCGACTGTGTCAATCCATCTTGTTGAGGGTCTTCCTCTTTTTTGCTAACCCTTTACTTTACCAAGCATGATGTCCTTCTCCAGGGACTGATCCCCTCTGATAACATGTCCAAAGTACATAAGATGAAGTCTTGCCATCCTTGCTTCTAAGGAGCATTTTGGCCATACTTCTTCCAAGACAGACTTGTTCATTCTTCTGGCAGTCCATGGTGTACACAATATTCTTTGCCAACACCATAGTTCAAAGGCATCAATTCGTTTTCAGTCTTCCCTATTCATTGTCCAGCTTTTGCATGCATACAAGACGATTGAAAACACCATGACTTGGGTCAGGAGCACCTTGGTCTTCAAGGTGACATCTTTGCTTTTTAACACTTTAAAGAGGTTTTTTGCAGCAGATTTGCCCAATGCAATACGTCGTCTGATTTCTTGACTGCTGCTTCCATGGGTGTTGATTGTGGATCCAAGTAAAATGAAATCCTTGACAACTCCAATCTTTTCTCCATTTATCATGATGTTGCTCATTGGTCCAGTTGTGAGGATTTTTGTTTTCTTTATGTTGAAGTGTAAATC